AAACAACCACCATGAGCAACCACCATCACCAACAACACTGGTTTAGGTTAGGTTGGGTTAGGTTAGGTTGGGTTAGGTTATAAGTAACGCCTCAACGATATCGAACACACTACAACTGTTGTGTCTTGTCTCTGTAGCATCGCTGTGTTTTACCTTACTATCGCCTCTGTCTACACTAACATAACAACATAACATAACGTAACCTAACCTTGATTATTTCCTCTCTCTCTCTCTCTCTCTCTCTCTCTCTCTCTCTCTCTCTCTCTCTCTCTCTCTCTCTCTCTCTCTCTCTCTCTCTCTCTCTCTCTCTCTCTCTCTCGTGGAATTATGAAAGTGAGACAATTTATCACCGTTCTCCATTAAATCTTTCGGGGTAACTCAACAGGGAAGGCACAATGGTTGACACTCCCGCCAGCGACTATGTAGGAGGAGGGTCACAGTCTATACCACACGTCTCTCAATATGTCTTTTATTATTCCCCTCCACCTGCTGTACAGTACAAGAAGTGGAACATGTACAAGTCATCCATTGTCTGTATGTCTGTCCGTCTATCTGTTCGTAAAAAAACATTTTGGGGGGGAGGGGGCCAAGTTAAGATTTTGTCCTATCTAATTTCAGCTTAAAATTAACCACCCTTAACCTAACGTAAACTAAATTAATTAATTTAAACTAACCTAAACTAATCTAACCCCCCCCCCAGGTAGTATTAGGTGATTAGGGTGTTTAATAATTAATTAGGTGAATGAAGCTGGATGGAGCTAATCTTCGCGGGATTCCAATCGTTCCCATTCAGTGAGTTGAGAATTGTTGCGCTGATTGAACTGAAATTTTACATGGAGATTTGTATGGTGGTTATGTAGGTTGAGTTCGATGGTCAGAGTTGTCTAAACGGATTAAGGTCGCCATTCGACTTTGATATTTGAGAACAGGAACAAGCGGTGCCACCCTCTTTAGTCGTCAGGAACAAGCGGTGCCACCCTCCTTAGTCGTCCAGGAACAAGCGGTGCCACCCTCATGATCGTCAGGAACGGCGGTGCCACCCTCCTTAGTCGTCAGGAACAAGCGGTGCCACCCTCCTTGATCGTCAAGAACAAGCGAAGTGCCACCCTCTTTTTAGTCGTCAGGGAACAAAGCGGTGCTACCCTCCGTAGTCGTCAGAACAAGCGGTGCCACCCTCCTTAGTCGTCAGGAACAAGCGGTGCCACCCTCCCTTAGTCGTCAGGAACAAGCGGTGCCTCCTTAGTCGTCAGGAACAAGCGGTGCCACCCTCTTTAGTCGTCAAGACAAGCTGTGCTACCCTCCTTAGTCGTCAGGAACAAGCGGTGCCACCCTCCTTAGTCGTCAGGAACAAGCGGTGCCACCCTCCTTAGTCGTCAGGAACAAGCGGTGCCACCCTCCTTAGTCGTCAGGAACAAGCGGTGCCACCCTCCTTAGTCGTCAGGAACAAGCGGTGCCACCCTCCTTAGTCGTCAGGAACAAGCGGTGCCACCCTCCTTAGTCGTCAGGAACAAGCGGTGCCACCCTCCTTAGTCGTCAGGAACAAGCGGTGCCACCCTCCTTAGTCATCCAGGAACAAGCGGTGGTGCCACCCTCCTTGGTCGTCAGGAACAAGCGGTGCCACCCTCCTTGAGTCGTCGAGGAACAAGCGGTGCCACCCTCCTTGAATAATCCAGGAACAAGCGGTGCCACCCTCCTTAGTCGTCAAGGGAACAAGCAATTGCCACCCTCCTTAGTCGTCAAGACCGGCGGTGCCACCCTCCTTAGTCGTCGGAATTAAGCAGTGCCACCTCCTTAGTCGTCAAGGAACAAGCGGTGCCACCTCCTTAGTCGTCAGGAACAAGCGGTGCCACCCTCCTTAGTCGTTAGAACAAAGCGGTGCCACCCTCCTTAGTCGTCAGAAAGAGACAAGCGGTGCCACCCTCCTTAGTCGTCAAGGAACAAGCGGTGCCACGCCATGTGATCGTCAAGACAAGCGGTGCCACCACTCCTTGATAAATGGGAACAAGCGGTGCCACCCTCTTTAGTCGTCAGGAACAAGCGGTGCCACCCTCCTTAGTCGTCAGGAACAAGCGGTGCCACCCTCTTTAGTCGTCAGGAACAAGCGGTGCCACCCTCCTTAGTCGTCCATCTAATTGGAGCATAACATACACAGGACTTAACCAACCCTATACCAAGTCGCTGTGTTCATTTTAGAATTCATGGGAACACTCTGTGACGATACTCTTTGGAGCGAGTGTATCTTTCCTGTTTCATAAAAAGGGTAGAAATTAAGGCCGAAAAAACACACCTCCACCGCCCGCCCACCCACCCACTCGCCCACCCACTCGCCCGCCCACGTAACCTGATCTAAATTATTTTTACTTCCCCTGACTTAAGCTAATCTAATTTAACCAAACTTAACCTAAGCTAACTAAATCTACTAACTTAACCAAGTTTAATTCAACCCAAGCAAACTTACCTGTAACATGAACTGGCTTAACTTAATGTATAGTCAAATTTAACTTTATCTCCCTAATTTAACCTGGTCTTAACCTTACTTAAGTTTCTCCTAACTTAACCAACCTAACTTGAGCTGTATCTGTATCTGTACCTGTATCTTTATGAATTAACAAGCTGCTGGCGTAACTATATTGAAATTCTCTCGACCAATCACAAGCCAGGAAAAGGGTAAAAAAGCAAAAATCATCCGACTATGACCATATGTTAATGAGCACTAGATGACGTCACCAATAGACTTCACATCAAACCTTAAGTCAATCGCGTGAGTAAAATTCCGAAGAAATTAGTCAGAACCTCCTTTAGACGGACGGACGGACGGACGGATAGGTGGACGGACAGACTTATAGGTGGATGGAGACGACTACTGTGACTTGAGTAATTTAATCTGTTTGTGGTTAAGAAGCAAGTCATCTTTGTAGCCGGGATGACCCCCTTCCTACACCACCAGGGTGTTTTAGTGTCGAGTGATGGAAGTAGTTTGTTTGTATATTTTTATGACAGCCTTTAAAGTGGTCGTTGGTGTGTGTAGTGTTACGAGCCTCCGTCTGTCTGTCTGTTTGTGCGTCTGTCGTCACCCAGGAGCCACGGGGGGGATTGGGAGGGAAGGAGAGGGATAGATGGGAGTGGGATTAGGAGGATGGAGGGGGAGGGAAGAGGGTAGGTGAGGAAAGGAGGTGTGAAGTGGGTGGGGTGATAAGGAGGGTAGGCGGGGACATGGAAGAAGTAGGGGTGGGGTGGGGTGAGGAAGGAGAGGAGAGGGGACGAAATGATAAGGGGGTGGAGAGAGAGAGAGGAGAAGAAGAGGAGGGGCAAGAGACGAGGTAGACAGGGGGTAAAAGGAGGCGGATGAAGCGGAAAATTTATACCTCCCCAAAAAAAACGAAAGAGAGTGGGGGATTGATTACAAATTTACCAGTATTTAACGTGTACTATATTCATGGCTTCCTTATTTCAAATCAGTACCTCATCTACTGTGATAAGAAACAAATTATACTCCCCTGTCTGTCTGTATGTGTATCAGTTTGTCTGTCTGTCTGTCTGTCCCCTCTATGGTCCACGTCTTTTTGGGGTTTGGGGAATATTATGTGCCATCCTCCCGGGTAACTAACTCATGGTAACGCAGCATCACCTTCGGATATCTATAATTTCACATGACGACGTATGTAAATGATCATGAGAACTTGCTGTCACACATTCATCATGACCTCGTTATACAGCGATCATAGTTATTCATTTCCGGCAGCTTCTCGTCTGTTATGTATGTATGTATCAATATGTGTGTGAGTATGAATGTATATATCCATGTAAACACAGTCATTTTTTTATTCGAGAACCTTAACTATATTTTAGGACGTGCAATAAACGGAAACCTAAAAATCATTAGTAATAAATTCTGAAGCCAGAACCAAACTTAAGGCGCTCTCGGGTGAATTATCAGGTGATCACTGCCCGTCTACCTCATCCGGACCAGGTAATGAGTCAAATTATATCATTGTTGTCCCAGGCTACTATATGCACCTCATGTTTCACAGAGAAACTTAAAGGCTTCGGATTCACGTTCAGATACTCTCGGGGTTCACACCTCACGGAAATAATGGATTGACAACGCTGGGTGTACTGGTCGGAAATGTCCCCCAACTGTACGTTTATGTTCAGGAACGAAGAGCTGGTATATATGCAGTATATGTTTATACTTTTATCGGCAGTATAATACGGTGTTACGTGCAATAAGAGGCTGTAAACCTGTTGACTGGCACCCGACGCGGCCAAGATAGTTTTGACAGTAGCCCACAATGACTCGGTGGTGAGGTGAGGGCCTGGCAGTGAGCCACACACTGAGCAACACTCTTGTAAATCTTAACTACATAGTAAACGTTTACTATTCATTCCCAACTGCCCTAACTCAACGAACTTAACTGAACCTTGTTTAAATTAGTTAAATCTAATTTAAACCAATTTAACCTACAATAATATACCCAAATCTATTTTAACTATACCCTAAGTTAACCAAATTTCACCATACCCTAACTTAACCGTAACCTAATTTAACCTAACGTAACCTAACTTACACTAATTTAACTTAACTTTACCCAACACATTCGTATTCGTCAACTACAGAATAGCAGAAATCATTGTTAACTCTATATCTAATTACGATACACTTTACAAACATTGTACTGTTCTTTCTTCTATAACGCCATGTTTTGTGATAATTACAGATCTGCTTAATATTGGTGCAGCAAACTGTGGTTACAATATATTTCTGTATATCTGTTTACTTGTGTGAATTTTCATATACTCGTATACTCGTAGAATCAAGAAGTGATATTGGATTCTTTAATAACTTTCACACTCACTTGAATTCCGCATAACTGAGTATTGACAATGATTAATTAGCACTTAATTTGCTATAGTAGACCTATACCTGTGTACTAGCAGACATACACAAGGGTGGGGGAAGGTGTGGTGGCGTAGTATAACTGATGATGTTAATCCCGCAGGTGTGGTGTCGTCGCCAGTGTCCTCTACGCCGTCGTCTTTCACCTGTCTCATTGATACACATCTGCTGGACGCCCGGGCAGGTGTGGCTAACGTATCCTGCACGACATCTGTGACCTGGTGAGTTTATATTGGTAGTACATCACCTGTGTGGCTTGTGAACGGTGGCGCGTGTGGTAATGTGTTATCAGGTTCCGTGTACTGTGAGGGACCCTGAGCCACCGGACACAGTTTTGGACAAGGTGAAATTTGGTTTTGTCCCGTGATGAAGGGTGGAGTCCTTGGGCCGTAACGAGGTGTGGAGTTATGGGTGTGAGGTGGAGCAGTCAGAGCCTTCCACCGTGAGTCGTGATGATGATGATGATGATGATGATGATGATGATGATGCGTGTTTAGTGTCAGATGGATGCCTTCAGAAATGTAATGAGTCAGGTTAACAAGTATCTCTCTCTCTCTCTCTCATGTTAACTTTACGGTCCCGATACCGGCCTCAGGGGTTACATCAGAGACTTAAAGGTGAAACGATACTGATAATAAACCCCTACTGAGTACTGAAGACATTAATAGTGTGTTTTATGGACCTAAAATTATGAGTGTCATGATCAAATGTGATTCTTTAAGGTGACCCTTGGGGGAAAAATTGACCAGGATTGGGGAGATATGAGTGTGCTTCTCTCGAGTCTCAACCCAGGTCAATTTTTGTTATATTATTGAGGTATCTCCTTAATGATCTACAGTTGACATTAGTTATTTATTAGTCCCATAAACATATTACTGATGTCTTCTGTGCTCCCATGCTCTCAAAATCAGCATCGTGTCAACTCTAAAACACTGGCGTGGGACGGTCTAAGTGTCAGAGGGACCCCGACAAAGAGTGTGTCGTGGCCAGAAACATTACCTACAGGGACTCTAGCATTACCCAGCCTCCTCACTCACCCCCAGTGACAGACGAAGACATACCGTGTACTGTCAGCCGTGCCCGAGGTGTGTCACTCCACCAACCTACCCCTGCATCTCCCCTTACAGCACAATTTCAGCATCTGTTTAGTTTTTCGTGTACCATTGCCTCACAGGATAGGCACTAAGAGATGGTGGCTCCACATAAGTTATTTCCACATCTCTCAGTCTATCCTTATCCATCAGTCTAACTCTGTCTATCAGTCTATCTCTATCTCTATCTATCAGACTATCTAGGTGTTGTCATCTTTGCTCTTCTTTACTTGTGTTTGAGTATGTAACGACAGATGCAGGGACATGAAGGAAGGGGAGAGGCGGTATGTGGATGTGAAGCAAGGCATTTGTAGACAGTGACCGGGAAAAGCTGAACGTAGAGGAAATATCTCTCATCCTTGCTCACATCCTCCTCACCGCCTCGTAGGATACTCATCAAGGATCACACCATCACGTATCTCAGTGCTACATGATGTTGTTGAGGTGAGAGGGCATCGAATCCGCGAGCAATAGATTATCAGCCGAGTAAGATAACCATTCTGCCAGGTAACCTATGAAAGCACACACGTACAAACCTCGACAAACCGCCAAAATCACTGTGAAATTATCCATACGGGGTTTTGTTTATGCCTCAGCTGATTATATAGCCGGGGATAATAACTGCTGTGCCACTTCATTGCACATGTTAAGCCTGGTAAAGAGGCTCACCACTTAATGTAATTTGAATTGGTAATTGCGTACCCGTAAGCTGTCCTCGGCTGCGGGCCATTAACACACGCTCTACTGTACTCCACGCTGGGGTGTTAATATTTGTGTTTAGATATTATTTATTAAAACTATTCAGTAAGGTTCTTATAGAGGAAAATTTTGTTTCTATTTTTAGTGTATTTAATGTTGATTTTAATTTCTATTTTTGTTTATTTTCAAAATGGGTGTCGGATTTTTTTTATTGCAACTGTTGTGTTTATTGTGGTATTTCAACACACACAGACACACGGCTGTCAGGACGGTAACACCTAGACCCCGCGAGTATGTGTTAACCAATAGTCGAACTCCCGGTATATCCCCGAAAGACCCGTACGTTGACATACTTACACGGCCTCTCAGGTATACCAGTCCACTATGTATGGAAATGACATGACACAAAGAGGGAGCAGTGTTTTCCCACCAAATTTCAGGAAAATCTGTCAACCCTATTTAAGAGTTGACTTCGAGGTGACGGTGTATAAGGTTCCATTAATATATTGCCAATTCCTTTTAAGATATAATAATAATAATAATAATAATAATAATAATAATAATAATAATAATAATAATAACTTACAACAACTAACACAACAAGACCAACACTAATAATAACATTTACGAAGACTTATAACATCAGGGTCATACATTACAGATTTGTCGGCCCATAAATCCGGGTTGTGATCACCTGATAACACCTGCTGTCTTTGAGCGGAAGTCTGCCGTATAGTAACCCGTAATTAGTTTAATTGGCCCTACCATAACATCAGTCAGTGGGGGGAGAGGAGATGAGAGGAGGTTGGTACAGGAGAGGGGACTGGGAGAAGAGTAGGGGAGAGAGGGGACTGGGAGGGGGGTAGGGGAGAGAGGGGACTGGGAGAGGAGTAGGGATAGAGGGGACTGGGAGGGGGGTAGGGGAGAGAGGGGACTGGGAGGGAGTAGGGGACTGGGATGATGGTAGGGGAGACAGGGGGTAGAAGGCATTAACCAGGAGGGGAGTAGAGTACCGCCAGATGGTGAGGGTGAGGACGGGGGGAAGAGGTGGTACGAGGAATTGTATTTGTGTCTCAGGACAAAATCCCAACACTGGAAAAAAAATCTCCATACCTAACCTACCCTAACCCTATGGCCTATACTGAAACTGAAGGTGATAACATTGAACCAAACGTAACATAATTTAACCTAAACAAACTTCACCTGATCTGTATTCGATTACCATAAACTTGTCTCCCACCTTAGAGTTACACGAGACTGTGGCGGCTTTGTGTTAAGTAGGGAGAGTATTATCTCTTAGTGTAGTGATACAGAGTGAGGAGAAGGTAGAGGGTGAGAAGAGGGGCGAAGATGAGGAGGAGGAGGGTGAGAAGAGGGGCGAAGATGAGGAGGAGGAGGGTGAGAAGAGGGGCGAAGATGAAGATGAGGGGTGAGAGAAGGAGGAGGGTGAGAAGAGGAGGAAGAGGGGATAAGATGAAGATGAGGAGTGAGAGAAGGAGAAGAATGAGAAGAGGAGGAACATGGGATAAGAAATTGCCAAAGACGCGAATCACTTCTGAGAGACGGCTGAGTAGAGATAACTTGTGCTGAGTTTCAAGGCAATCCAGTGTATCATCCTTGTGAAAAAATTGTTGGCGGATGGATGGGTGGATGGTTTTTCGGACGGGTGAACAGAGAGACGGATGAATGAAAGGACGGGTATAAGGACAGACTGGCAGACGGAAAGTGTAAACCCAAATATTGTATGAGACAGGAGGGACGTTAGGCATTTTTAGGTCCTGAATTCTTATACCTTTAGCCTGCCTCCCCCTCCATCAGCCTTCTCCTCCCATCACCCCACCACCACAGCACCCCCACTACCACCCACCACCACAGCACCCCCACTACCACCCACCACCGCAGCACCCCACTACCACCCACCACCACAGCCCCCCACCACCCCGCCACCACAGCACCCCACACCACCTGCCACCACAGCCCCCACTACCACCCACCATCACAGCCCCTCACTACCACCCACCACCACAGCACCCCACTACCACCCACCATCACAGCACTACCACCCACACCATCACAGCACCCCACTACCACCTGCCACCACAGCCCCCACTACCACCCACCACCACAGCACCCCCACTACCACCTTACCACTCACAGCACTCCCCACACACTCACCACCACAGCACATACCACCCAGCCCCCCCATTCCTATAACACCTAGACTTTCCATCAATCAGGTGATGGTGGCCGGGGAGGTAAGCGAGGGAGGGCGACATGGGGACAAGTGTCGACGCTCGTGGTAGGCGAAGGAGGGGATGGGGAATAACAATAGAGGGAGACTGGTGTGTGTGTGTGTGTGTGTGTGTGTGTGTGTGTGTGTGTGTGTGTGTGTGTGTTCGCCACCCTGTCTGCTCTCTCCTCTAAGGTCAGTTAACTGCTTGAAGGTCATCGTATTCTTGTATCGCCTCGAGACTCTCTACCAATAAACTTCCAGTACATGAAGTTAATCTTCCTCTGAGTACCTTAACATACAACATTTGCGTCTTAAATATGTTGAAAGTCGTCCTCGATGCCAGAGAGTCGATGTTCCTCTGTTATACACAAAAGCGTGACAAGATCAGAGGTAAAACTCGGAGCAAATCGTGTCGTGTTGTAGAGTATGAAGAGTTGTTTGTCTTGCCATGAAGTCTGTCAAGTTTGTGTGTTAAGGCCATCGGTTATATGCGTTCTCGCGTCACAAGTTACAGGGAAACGTGCAATTTCCTCCTAACAACTAGACTGTGATCTCCAGTTCAATTTGTTGGTGCCAGGCTATGAGCTGAGACCTGATCTAACCCAATTCAACCTAATCTTACCTAACTTAATAAGGTCTAATTAAATCCAACCTAACTCTACCCTATCCTAATAACCTAACATAAATAACCTCAGTCTAACCTAACCTTAACCCAACCTTAACCCGCCATACTCGTACGCTACGTTAGGTTGGGCTACAGGTCGTTAACAATAGAAGGGAGACAAGCGTGTACACAAGGCTTACAAGGGAACTATTTCCCAGGACACTGAAGGATGAGGAGAAGGTGAGGAAGGTCACACGCGAGGTCAGAGGTCAGCTACGGGAGGTCGGGCTGTTTATCTAATAAAGAAAAAGGTTAATTTAGGCTAACAGGTATGCTGCCCTGATCATTAAGAGGTCAGGTGTGGGTTGTAAGATGTGATGGTCGGAGGCGTTGTGTGTGACGGGAGTAAACACTGAAGTAATAAAGTAATATACTATATACTTAATAGGGGGAGGATGACCAAGAGAACAGTGAAGGGAGAGTAAATAGGTGAATTGTCTCACTCAACTCTGTCACGTAGGTATGTAGAGACAGTCTCCCCAGATGTGAGAGACTGGAAACAATACTCCACACACGGACGACGACTCATCCCTG